AGTTTAATTAACCAGCAGTCACCACATCTGAATTTTTGTCTCTGGGGCATAGATGGCAGACCAAGATTGAAAGTGGTAACTCAGCCGTATGAGCATAGGCTGCCTGCCTGGGCTGTCCTACTGACCGTGGGATGCCAAGGTCAGTGTGTTCCCAGTGGTTCTGATCAGCCCTTGAAGTGTTTGATCTCTGCCCTGATCAGTGGACTGTTGACTTCAGTCCCTGCAAGTGCTTTAGCCCAAGTGGGGTTTTCTCAGAGCACTGCCACAAGCTAAGTGTATGTTTAGCCAAATAATTTCTCCATTAAGGGAAAAATGCGCTCATTCAAATGTTACCAGCAACGACAGAGATGAGAGTAGGAAATATTAGGCAACACTGGGGTTTTGATTTGGAAAGTGTCCAAGTCACTGTCAAAGGCTGTCTGAGAGCCAGTGATCGTATAGAGATTCTTAGGAGACCTCATCTGGAAGTATTAAGACCTCCTGTAAGTTGGAGGGATTGTTAAAATGCCAGCAGCTCCCCCCCCCCCTTTTTTCTAGAATTCTGTAAAAATACAAAGAAAATTGAGTGGTACTTAAGAATTGAGGGTGAGGGTTACCGCAGAATAGAAGCATACTTGTAGATTTCAGTTCCATGCCACAAATCCACACAATGCCATTTTTCAACTGTACAAAAGAATCTGCTTATGAATTTGACATGATCTTAGTGGTAGCGTCAAAAGGCCGAATTTTTCACCTGTTAATATTTTTCCACATTTGTCCTTAAATCTGAGTAACTTTACAGTACTGTAAATTTAACTTATACATTGAGTTTGATGTCAATTCTTGTGAAAAGAGCTTCTCCATGTAACAGACACACAGTTAAGAACACAGCAGAATACAAAATTTGCAGGACCAATTTTGGAACCAACAGAAAATGTCACCTCTCATTTGCCATCTTTATGTATCAGTTTTACCAGCTACTTCTAAATTTGTACATTATGTGTAAGGAAAAGAAGGAAACCCCTAAGGCTTGTCTAACTTAGTGGAGAATGTGTGTGTCGGGTTTAGGATGGATAGCGAAGTCTTACTAAGCTGTGTTATCTAACTTGTATATAACAGTTGTAATTAAAAGTCTGGATTCACCTGTTGCTTGCGGTTTAAAGCAATGAGTAATTACAAACTCTGGAAATGTGACTAGTATATGACTTAAGGCTGTAGAAGTGAGGAAGCTCTTCAAGTGCTAAAAATAAAGACTTCTGGATTTTGGCTCAAATTCAGTAAGTACTGTTTGTATACCAGGATATGTGAGATGTAAATGTAATAGGTCACTTTTCACTCTTGTAGCTATAAAATAAAAATTTTGTAGAACAGAAATAGCTTGTACTACTGAATTAACAAAAGTTATACTAAAGTATCATGTTAAAAAATATATATATACACATACACACACACAGAGTTAAGCGTGTTGCTGTTACCCTGTCTGGATTTGAAGTGTGCTGATTTATATAACACACAGAAACACACACACACACACGTATATATATTATATACACGCACACATCTAAAATGGCCTAAAGCAGACATCCATGTAATTACAGTTGCAAAATGAAGACATTTTGGAAAGAACATTGTATCATAGTTCATTCATTTGCAGTGGATCTTTGTTCCTTTTTACTGTGGTAATTTTAGAAATGAGTGTCAAGTTTGAAATTAGATCTGCTAAGTTGGGGTTTTGCTGCCTGAACTCTGCACTGGGTCCTCAAATAAACCGATGTGAATGTAGTTTTTTTCCCCCTGTGTAAAGAAGCAGCCACACCCCAACAGAATAGGAGGAAAAATCTAGAGCTATTTCAAGTTTTATCTTTTTGTATATGAAAATAAAATAATAATAATAAAACTACCCTGTGTCTCTCTTAATCACATGGTGGGGGATTGAGGTTTCTTTTCTTGGGAATTAGAAATCAGTATAGTGGCGCGCTCTCACTTACAAGGCTGACTCTCGAACACCCCTGTGAGTTCCTGCTTGGTACACATGGAGTTGTTATTGCTTGAGTACCTAGTCTACCATGGTTCTGTGGTACTGGAGCTCAGCACAGGTCTTCATTTCTGCCCTTCAGAAGCTCATGTTGGAAACATGGGGTTTCTCCTAAATGGACTGTCCTGGAACTTGGGGTAAGTTCTTGCAGGGTAGGGGTATATTTTCCAAATCTCTAAGATTCCTGTACCTCCCTCCCCGACCCCTAGTCCTATACTTTGCAGACAACCCTGAGTAATATATATTTTTTAAAGATTTTATTTATTTATTTGACACAGAGACAGAGATCACAAGTAGGCAGACAGGCAGGCAGGGTGGGTGGGGGAAACAGGCTCCCCGCTGAGCAGAGAGCCCCGACAATGCAGGACTCCATCCCAGGACCCTGAGATCATGACCTGAGTCAAAGGCAGAGGCTTAACCCATTGTGCTACCCAGGCGCCCCCTGAGTAATATTTTTGTAAGTGGAGTAGAGAAGCCTGGAAAATAAGTTTTATTCAGGACTACTGCAGAATACAGGCTCTGTCATTTCTAAGCATGGCTGAGTATCAGGGTCACCCATAAAAAAAATAGTTTATGGGGCACCACCCCAGATCTGAATCAACAAAGCCCAGTCTCATGTTTAGGAATTCCTGACTTAAACTTGCTAGGTGAAAACATGGTTCCCTGTTAATGAAATAATAAGTCTCTACTGCCTAACAAAACCAGAAAGCCCCAGAAGTCACCTTCCTGCAGTAACAAATTTTTTTGGCCTGTGACTTATATTTGCCAAGTGGAGAAATACCAGCTTTGGATCCTTCTGGTACAGTTAATGCCTTTTTCTTCATGCTTTAATATGAAAATTAAACAAACCTGTTTGGAACTCTCAGAGAACGATTTTTGACTAAGGGACCCTTTATTTAGGAACCAGTGGTCACAGCTTATGGCCCATTTTGCTCTCTCAGATTGAGACTGTTCATCTTTTGTTAGTGAGTGCCCCTAATGATAAGTGCAGAGAAGGAAAGGAAGTCTAACATTATTGAAAGAGGATCTTAGAACTAGAAATGCTGGAAGGTTGGACCAGAGAGGTCATTATGGTCACACTTTTCCCTCAGCAAAGGAATTCGTTCATCAAAGAAAGAAGCTGATTTTTAGAAAAACAGGCTTGCTCAAGTGAGCAAGTAGAAGAGGGTTCAGGGGCCATTAAGTCTGCCCTCCCATCCCTTCCCTTAAATCTCATGTACCCCTGTGGAACACTATGGACGCGCCCCCCCCATTATAGTTTAGAAACTACTGGTCCGATTCCTTCACTTGGGAGGGAGGTACCCTGCCCTAAGTCAGGCAGCCCTTACTTGCAGTTCTTGACATCTTGGGGCCAAGTGTGGGGTTCACTGTTGTGTCCAAGTACAGGGTCTGGATGAGGAAAAGTCACCCACCATTTATCTCTCATTCTGGTGTTTAACACAGCACATGGCACTTAGGAGGGCCTTGAGAAATAAATCTCTCTTAAGTGAATGAATGTATTAGTAAATATTGTAAATTGAAACTTACAGATGTACCAGTGTTGTGTGGTTGTATTTGTCAGGAGTCTCGGTTGCAAATGACAGAAACCATTAAACAAAAAGGGGGTTTTACTGGAAGGATCCTGGGGCAACCAAGCTTTGAGTAAAGGCAAGCTGTGCAGCGGCTTCAGGAGCCTTGGCAGCTGGGATCACAACATTGCAGCACTAGCCCTTCACTTACGTCTCAGCGTTTCCTCCACTGTTGCTCAGTGCAAGATGCGTCTGGTCCTTTGTCCACTTAGCAGGAAACAAAGCTACAGATAGTGCCAGAGTTTCCTATGTCACAGCTTTGCCACCTAGAGAGACTTCCAGATCCACAGTCCCTGGAAAGATTCCAGTTGACCTAGTTCCACCAGTTAGGGTCAGAGGCACAGGGGATTATACAGAATGACTTTGTAATAGGTATTCCTGGGTAGGGGTGTGGACCCATGAAGCAATCAAAACAACACTGACACTTTGGCTGGCTGTTAGAAAACCCTCCTGTTTAAGCCCACTTGGGCGCTGCAAAACGAACAAAATCCATTGGGTGGGAGTGCTTAAACCATACCCTTACTCCGTCCGCAGGCATTCAGCAGTCCGAAGTTTATATTCCATCAAGATAAAATAGGATGAAGGAAAAGTCGCTAACACTACAGAGCACTTAATTGACATGCGCCAGATTCTTCCCTAAATGCTTTACGTGGTAACTTTTAACAAGAAACCTATGGTCTAATCATCTTCATCATAATAACTTATTATTTAAATAAGTGTATAAGTAATATTTATTGTATACTTTTCATATATGATACCGTTACCATTATTTTCATCTAAAAAAAGAGACAGAAGCCCTGAAAAGTGAAGTAACACACCCAAAGAGGAAAGTGGTGAGCAGCCATCTAAACCCCTGCACTCTGAGGGTCCTAAGCCACCATGCAGTACTGTCTTGTCAAGACACTCCTAAGGAGGTACAAAGCAATTAGAAGTTAGGACTTTTAAGACTGCGACTTCAAAGCCAGGTGTCGTGAAGACGTCTAATATGGCATACGTTTTGGGCTCAGACCTGAGTTGGAATGGCGGCTCTGAGGTCTTACTCTAACCGTGTGCAAATGGCTTATTCACCTATCAAGTGGCACTAAAGGTACACACCACTGCGCCCTCAAGACGTCATGCCTCCCACCCATCACCGGATCAAGGGGACCAGGGGTGGAGCGACGATGTGCTGGTCGCGGCGGGGGAGGGTGCGGGGGGAGGCGGTTAGAGATTCACCTGCGCCTCCAGATTTTGTCACCAGGGGGCTCCCGAGGCCCTCAGCGGGGTGGGTGTGCGCCTGCGCTCTGAATATCCTGTGGCTCCACAGAGGCTTGGTGCCAGGCGACTCCAGGTTGCGCATGCGTGTCTCGGTCCCCGGGTTGCGATTGGCTTTCAGGCGTCAGAGCTAGTGTGCGCACGCGCGACTGCAAAGGGTAAGGTGCGCTGGTTAAGATGGCTGCCAAAAGTTTTGCTTCCCGCCTCAGAGGCTCTGGATGCTTTTTGAGTGTCTTCGTGGCGGGAGGTGTGGTGGGCGCCGCGGGAGGCGGGTTCACGGCCATGCAGTTGTTCCGGAGTCAGGGCGCTGAGGCAGCGCTGGCAGCGAGGGAGCCCGACGGTAAGTCCGTAGGCCTCTTCCCTGGCCCGGGTTTTGGGCAGGATTCCTGCCTTCGGCATGAATCGTAATCCTCTGTCCGCGCTTTTCTCCCTTTGCGGGCCCCGAGCCGGGGGTCTCGGGTTTTCAGCCTTTCTAGTCTTCCCATCCGGCCTCCCCGCTCCACCGGAGGCCTCGCCTGCCTCTTTCGCATACTTCTCCATCTTCATTTTCTCGTCTTCTACCCCGAAGCAACTTAACACAGGTACGTTTTAATGTCCGTGACCTCCTTTAGGTCGTTAGCTCCGTAACAGCTCGGACTATGTTTTGTTCTCCACCGTATATACAGTCCAGCACCTGGTGCTTAGTTGACAGTAAGCGTGGAAGAGTTAATACATTAACACCTCGTTTTAGCAGATTAGTTAATTGTCCTCGTTCAGACGAAGGGTGCCCGCATTAACGCTAAAAAGAAATCTGTCAGGTTATCTTATCAGCAAAAAAGTGGGCTTCTTTCGGAAGAGTAGAGAATTAGTAATCCAGGACAGGCAAGCCATGGCAAAACCGTAGGCAAGTCCAGCAGCCAAAGGAGAGGAACTTTACGGAGAAGACGGAGGAAATTGGGAGGGTTGTTTTGGAAAGTCCATTGGAGAAAAGCAACGGTTCAGGGTGATGAGTTTTTTATTGGCTGAGTTGCATGGGTAGTCAACTTCTTGTAGAGGTTGCACTGTCAGGCTTTCCCTGTTGGGGGGTCTGTAGTTGACGGTTCTTTCCTCTTGACAGTTCTTCTGTCAGGGTCTGTAATTGACAGTTTTCCTGTAATTGAGATGGGGTTGAATGGCTCCCCCTTCCAGCCTCCCCTTCTAGCAACAGAGTCCACTTTCCTGAGGTTTCCCTTCATTAATTTTCACACGTGCTAGCCCTTCTTCAAAGGATATATATCCTCAAGCTACCGGGGGTACCTCATATTTAACAGTGAAAATGAATTCATGCTCATTTTTTACACTTTCCCTGACCTGCTGATTTAACTTGCTCCTTGTGGTACTTGGCATTTTAGCAAGAGAACTATTCTGGTAGGTCGAAGACCTGGAGAAGGCTTCAAAGAGAGGGTTATTTTGAAACAGAGACCTTGTTAAATGTGTGCTTAGTTTCTCCCAGTAGGAGAAATAAGACAACTTTTACCACTCGTGCACATCTCTGCTTCAGTTCCAGAACAATGGATGATAGTCTTTTTTTTGTTTTTTTAAAGATTTTATTTCTTTATTTGAGAGAGAGACAGTGAGAGAGAACATGAGCGAGGAGAAGGTCAGAGGGAGAAGCAGACTCCCCATGGAGCTGGGAGCCCGATGTGGGACTCGATCCCGGGACTCCGGGATCATGACCTGAGCCGAAGGCAGTCGTCCAACCAACTGAGCCACCCAGGCATCCCGGATGATAGTCTTTTAAGACGTTTATAAAAGGCTGTTTTTGTCCTCATGCTAACTCTTATCATGTAATGAGGAAGTAGGCTTTCCCCCATTAAATCGTATCAGTGGCTAGTAATGACTTGTTTTTCCTTTGCTGCTTTTGTATACATGGTACTTTATGGGGCAGAGATTTGGACATTTGATGTGAAAGACCAGTAAGATCAGGTCCTTATTTAAAAGTTAGTGAGGGGGCCCCTGGGTGGCTCAGTGAGTTAAAGTCCCAGGGTCCTGGGATCCATCCCCGCGTCGGGCTCTCTGCTCAGCAGGGAGCCTGCTTCCCCCTTTCTCTCTGCCTACTTGTGATCTCTGTCAAATAAATAAATAAAATCTTAAAAAAAAAAAGTGAGATAGCTGCAGTTTATCTTGTTAAAACTATAGGACTGATTATAGGCAAAGCCTATGGTCTCTTTTCTCTGCATTGGAAATAATTGCAAAATGAGATCTGGTTGATTAGACCTTTGAGTCAGTCCTTTGTAATTCTCACCCCTCTCCCTTATAATTTCTTGTTCCTAGTAAGAATTACTAATTATTGTTATTTTCCCCCCTCCCTCTTTGCATTTTTAGGTTCTGCAGAAAAGGCTCTCTTGGAACAATATGGAGTCCCTTTAACTGGAACAGAGACTAGGCATTACACTAATCATGCCTTGTCTTATGATCAGTCAAAGCGGGTGCCTAGATGGGTTCTTGAACATATATCCAAAAGCAAGATAATGGGTAGGTGGTTAGAAGTAAAGGCATTGATGAAAGGTATTTCCAAATTTAGAACAAGGAGGATTATCGATTCAACCTTTTTCACATTGCAACACATTTAGAAAATGATGATGTTTGTATGAAGCACTTAGATAATTGGACCTACCTGGTCTCCAGTGAGCTCCAGACCCTTCCCAGCTTTCTAAGGGGTTGAGAGGATCAATATCTTGACTTATGAGTTGGAGGCTCTGTCAGTATTGCTACAACTAGCACTATTCGTACATTATCTCCACAAATACTTTTAAAGTGCCTACCACATGTCTGGCACTGTGCTGAGCCTTGGGATCAGAGCATATGGTCTCTCATTCTTGGCACTTTGAGTTAATGTTGGGGAATGAACTGGCCTATCAAACAAATAATCATGAATGTGGTATTATTATTGGTAATAACTATTCTGAAGGACAAGTGATTGTAGGTTGGGTTAGTATAAACAAGGAACAGTAAAGAATGTGATGAGCAGTGATGTAGGAGAACCTGATTTTGATTAGCAAGTTTTCTCCAAGAAAGTGGCTTAGAGGTAGATGTTGTTACCTAGACAGTGGAGTGGGATGGTCCGTGGATTGTGGACAGGTGCATTCCAGACAGAAAGAAAAGCACAGGTGCATCTTTGAAGGCCCCGGTGTGAAGAGTTTTGTTCCTTTAGGGAACTAAAAGGCCAGAGTAGCTGGAGCAAGGGAGAACATATGAAATGAGATTGAAGAGGTAGGTGGGCATGTAAGTCTGCTCATGGTTTAAAAAAAAAAAAAAAAAATTTTTTTTTTAAAATATCTTGGTGGATTCCTATAATTAAGATGACCAGACCTTGATATTTAATGTTAAATTGGTTTCTGTGTAGATTATTCTAGTTTATACTATCCACTGTTAACTACTTGTCCTGTCTTCCACTCATAATGAACATTACCAATTTAATAGCTGATTTTATTTCCATTTATTGGATACCAGTGAAGTTTAATATTTTGTGAATTATTCTTTCTTTGTGAGTTATTTTTACCATTTTCCATTGGGATATTGTTTTTTGAATTGATTTGGGGAGTTCTTTATGTGTTAGGGTATAACCTTTTGTCATAGTTGTTTTATTCATATTTTATTTGCCTTTTAATTTGTTTTAAGGCCCACACATTATTTCTCCTTGCTTTAAGTACATGCTCTGTTTATGTATATTAAAATGCTGATGTTTAAATGAGTATGTGCCTTCCTAGGGTCAAACCACCAGCAGAATAGCAGGAGCCTTGGGCTTTGCTTGCTGCTAGAAGGAGACTGATGTAGTTGGGAACTTTTTTGTAGCAGTTGAGAGTTGATTATAAATGTATATCAAGGGAAACTCATTTGATATAGTTTCAAGCCAGTGAATCGCCTTTAAATGCAAAACTTTTCCTAAGATGTAAGGGATTTTGGCTTTACTAATTTTATCCTGCTCTTCAGAAAGGCATATAAGAAAAATACCACATTTCACATTGTAATGCGTAATTTGAGGAGGTAAAATAATATTATTTGAAAACAGGAAGCAGTATACTTATGATTTACTGGATATTAGTCTAAAGAGACTTCTGTTTTCAGTAATGACAGACTAGATTACTCAGACTGACTCTCTGCTAAAAACAAGAAATGTTATTAGCAGACTGAGTGTCTGCTAAAAACAATAAGAGATATGTAGGGGGAAAAAATCACTTAAAAAAAAAAAAAGTTAGCATGATAGTGGTGAGTTGCCAAGCCACTATCTGGGGGAAAGCCAGAATCCAGAGAGATAAGGGCAGTCTTGGTAAACCATAGCAACATACATTCTTTTGATTCCACCTTTGAAGGTGAGCCTAGGACTCACCCAGAGTAGATTGTTTTATACGACCCTCCCCATAATAGCCTGGAACCTCCAGAGGTCTGAGCCCTGGGGGAGGACAGGGGAAGTAGAACTAACCTGCCTACTCACTATAGGGGACTGTATAGAAGGTTATCTTGGCACTGAGCAGAAAAGGGTCAAAAGGAAAATAAAAAGCTTGTTCCAGAGAAGTGGAGGCCACAGACTGGTTATCATGCAGACTTAACAGCTGGGAGTCATGGATCCTGTGTAGATCAAGCAAGGAAGCCCTGATCTTGGTTTAACACAGTTCTCCACTGGCGGTGCCTCCAGGTAGCCTGATAGAAACAAATTTACTTCCATCTCAAGGAAGACATCTTTATCCTAGGCCTTTGGAAATGCCCACAGATGAATTTTCAAGGGTGGTGAGCACCAGGCAAAGACAACGAGGCATGTAAGGAAGTGATTCCAGTGGTAATGACATGCAAGAGAAGTTTACTAATAATTCTGTTTTTTTCTTTATGAAGTGGCTCTAAAAAACTCAGTATCCGATAATCTATTCTGAGTTTTGGGGTCTGATCATTTAAAATTTTTCTGGCCGAATGAAATGACACTAGAATTGGTAACTTCATGGGTCTCCATTTTAAATGTTATGGAATAGCAGTCTGAATATGTTCCATTTATCTCTATTATTTTTGTAATTTAACAAGATCTGGCCTAATGACAGTAGAAAATACAGTATTAGGGTTTGCTGATTGGTGTGGCAAACTCTTCTAAGGTGGGAAAATATAAATAAAATAGAGATTTTTTTTTTTCTCTCCCATGTGGTTCACAGATATTTTGTTTCAGGAATTTCTGGATTGAGCTCATAACCTAAATGTTTGTTTTGTCATGGCTTAAGAGGCAGCAAGCAAGATAACCAGAGACACTCTCCCCCTCCTCTAGGCTGTGGCTGCCCAGAACAAATTGTTTTGTGTCTATATATATCCATTATTTCAGTACATACAAACTTGTCAAGTATAGTTGCACAAAATACAATACATGAGGGTTTTTTTTTTTTTTTTTAAAGCAAGAGTTTATTTAGTAGGTAAGCGTTTTATATAGTTCAGCTATTTGGTCATTGTTTTACTTAAATACTATCTGGGGCATTATTTGCCTTTAATTTCAGAGACTAGGAACAGAAGTATATGAGATAGCTACCCCATATGAAAAGCGTTCTTTCCTAGACTAGTCCTTGCTAAATTCAGATGAGGTATCTGAACTATCCCAGGAACTTGAGACATGCACGCAATCACTAAATACTAGCTGCTCAGAGAGATAGTAGCCAGCAGCAAACAGCTTGCCTTGCTTAGAGAATCTTGAGGGATATTTGTCCACTGATAACTTACCCATTTTGTGTGTTTTTCTTCAGGTGATGCTGACAGAAAACATTGTAAATTCAAGCCCGATCCTAACATTCCTCCAACCTTCAGTGCTTTCAACGAGGACTATGTTGGGAGTGGGTGGTCACGAGGACACATGGCTCCAGCAGGAAATAACAAATTTTCATCTGTAGGCATATTTTTTGGGTGGGATGGGAATATGGGGCTCGATGTCTGTATACCATGGGACTTGGGTATTAAAAATATAGGAGGCAAACCTTAATATTTGAGAATTTCTGCACTTGTATTTTGTATTTTCCTTCCTGACTTTAATTCCTTTGTTTGCTCAGATAGTGAGACATTGCTTAAACAGGTTGAAAAAGTAAAACTAAATGCTATGTAAAAGAACTGGAGAGCTCTTAGGAGCTATTCATTCATTCATTCATTCATATTTTGAAAAATTTCATATCTGTAGAAAAGTTGAGAGTATAGCAAAAACATTTTTAACTGTAGAAAAATTGAAAAGATGGTACAGCAAACATTTTTTTTTTAAGAGCGCGGAGGGGGCAGAGGTAGAGAAGGAATCTTAAGCAGACTTCACGGTCCGTGGTGTTCAGGATTGCTCAGGATACTGTATCATCTAAGAATGAGGATATTTGTATATATGACAGGAGTATCATACCAAGAAGTGTGTATGTATATGTATTTTTGAAGATTTGTACAATAACATACAGTTCATACTCAGATTTGCCTCATTGTTTCAGTTGTGTTCTTTACAGCTTTTTTTGATCCAGTGTTCTGTCATGAATCACATATTGTCTTTCTAGCCTCCTTTACCTTAGGTTAAGTTCTCTGCCAAAAAAGGAGAGAAATGTCTCTTATGACATTTATCACATCAGTTGTTGGTGATATGAATTAAGATAGTGGTTTTTAACCTTAGATACTCACTATAATCACCTAGGATGTTTAAAAAAAAATCCCGATGCCCAAATCCAGAGTAGTTAAATCGGAAACTCTAGGGGGGTAGAACCCAGGCACCAATATTTTTTAAAGGTCCCTGGGTTATTCCAGTGTGCGTTCAAGGTTGAGAACCACTGCTTGAAGAGAAGTTTATTGATAGCATTCGTGGTTAATACAGGTCAGTGGAGGGGCGCCCGGGTGGCTCAGTTGGTCAAGCGACTGCCCTCAGCTCAGGCCATGATTCTGGAGTCCCAGGAAAGAGTCCTGCATTGGGCTCCCTGCTCAGCAGGGAGTCTGCTTCTCCCTCTGACCCTCTCCCCTCTCATGTGGTCTCTCTCAAGTAAATAAATCTTCAAAAAAAAAAAAAATACAGGTCAGTGGAAGGAAATAATAATGACAGCCTTTCAGGAATGTGCAATGAATGAACACCTAGTGGCCAGAAATTCAGAAGAGCAAGGAATTCTTCTCTGCCACTTTTTTTTTTTTTAAAGATTTTATTTATTTATTTGACAGAGATCACAAGTAGAGAGGCAGGCGGTGGGGTGATGGGGGTGGGAGGGAAGTAGGCTCCCCGCTGAGCAGACAGCCCGATACAGGGCTTGATCCCAAGACCCTGAGATCATGACCTGAGCCGAAGGCAGAAGCTTAACCCACTGAGCCACCCAGGCGCCCATCTTCTCTACCAGTTTGAACCAATATGTTTGTACTGTATTCCTTCCATAAAATTTCTGAAAGTTGACCTTTATGGAGAAACTCTTTGCCAGAGGCTAAACACCAGAATTTATCCTATAGCTTTATATTGGAAACTGCATCACTGGTTTGAATTTTAAGAAGTACAAAGAAAGCTAGCACACCAGACTACTAATTTTGTTATACCCCTGTTATGAATAATCATTATTGAGCTTTCTGACCTGGAATAGCTATGGCTTTCATTTATTTGAACAAGTAGTCACTGTAATTGCCTCGAGCTAACATAGAAGGAACTGGCTTTCAGAGTTTCTTTGTAAAATCTCAAAGGGAAGGCATTTCATTGCAAGTTACTATTTTTATTTCTTTTTCACAGAAAGCCATGGCTGAAACCTTTTACCTTTCTAATATTGTGCCTCAGAATTTTGATAATAATGCTGGATATTGGAACAGGTGAGGGGTGAGAGTTTTAAAATATGATTCTGTGGGAGAGGAATGATGTGCCAGGAGAATGTACTAGTGCACCCATCAATTGTTTCTCTGTTTAGCAAAAGCTAGCACTACTGAAGGTAAGTACTTTGGACTAGTTGTCTTTGCTGAATGCCAGGAGTACGGTTGTCTGGCAGTACTGACTTCAAAACCGCCAGCCATTTTGATCATATTTGCCACTGGTCAGAAGTCAAGTTTAGGAAGAAACTATTCAAAATATTATTACTGAAGCAGTAAGAGATTTTTTTTTTAAAGACTTTATTTATTCATTTGACACAGAGAGAGAGAGATCACAAATAGAGAGACAGGCAGAAAGAGATGGGAAGCAGGCTCCCTGCTGAGCAGAGAGCCCCATGCGGGACTCGATCCCAGAACCCTGAGATCATGACCAGAGCCGAAGGCAGAGGCATAACCCACTGAACCACCCAGGCGTCCCACAGTAAGAGATTTTTGAGTATGTCCAGAGGACACTATATTTTTTTCTACTTGTATTTCAAAAGTAGCTGAGCTTTTTAAAAAAGTTTTGGTACAATTAAACATAACCAGTTTTTCATAGAACCTAACAATAAAATCATGGGCTTTTTGCGGGTTTTTGATACTTCTAAGGAGTTCTGTTGGGGCATCTCTTTAAGCATCTAAAGCTAGCACTGATTGAGGGTGTTTTAGGCCATTGCATTTTCCTTAAACAGTACTTTATGGTTTAAAATAATTAAGAGAGTACCCCACATTGAAGACTTGAGCAGTTATCAGTCATGGCTCCATATTTGTTCTGTCTGCATACCCTCCCTTCCCCCATTCATTATTTTAAGCAGGGGACAGCTATATTGTTCATCTATAAATGCTTCAATATATATTTTTAGAAGATAAGGATTTTTAAAAAATCAAAGCAGAGCATGATTAGTGCACCCCCAAAATTAAACAGTAATTCCTTATTGTCAATTTTACGATTAATGTTCAGATTTCTGTTATTGTCCTTAATTTTTTATTTCTGGTTGATTAGTTTGAATCAGAATTTGAACAAGGTCCACATAGATATATGTTCTTTTAATACTCTTATTAATCTATAGGTTTCCTTTTTTTTTTTTTAAAGCCTTGCAGATTATGTATTGAAGATCTGGGATATTTGTCTTATGGAGTTAATTTTTATTTTGGCTGGTAGCATACCTGTGGAAGCATTTAACATTTTTCCTTTCCCAAGGGATACATCTTTGGGAGAATAATTTACCTGATAGTTAGGCATATATGCTGTGAGGTGTAATACTGCTGATTTTACTTTTTAGATAAGGAAGCTGAGCGATGATGACTTGCATTGTTATCGCTCATAAATCTTTCCCAACTGCAGTATAAGTGCATATTAAACCTACTTGCCATTTTTAGCTAGTAAATTAGCAAAACCATTTTTAATGGATAAATCCCAGTGTTGTAAAGATTGCTGTGAAACTGTGGTGTCATATTTTGTAGCTTATATAGTAAATTGGTACAATACCATTAAAATACTACTTTTACATATAACCAAGTATTACTAAAATATGTTTATAAAGTAATTCTGGCCCTTGAAATTTATCCTAAGGAATGTTGCATTATATAACAGTTGTTATATAATTACCCCACAATAGGAATGGTTAAATAAATAACCATGTATCAGCTTGTTGAAATGATATCTAATGCTTCAGAAAAGATTGAGAACTACAACATAGAAAGATAAGGGAGAAGACAAAACAAAATTTGAGTTCTAAAATGTACACTGAATGCACACACAGGAAAATGTAGGTAGTTGTGTGAGTGCATGTAATTTTTAAGTATTCTTGTACAGCGAAGAATTTGGGAGATAATTGCTTATATGCTACTAGTGTTTTGTGTAATATTCGCTTGTTCACATTCATTTGTCAAATTCAGCATTCCTGGTACCTTTCCTAGGGATTTGATATGGTTTGCTTTTTTTTTATATTTATGTCTGTGTGAATATCACACCTCTTTTGCTTTGCTTTTCAGAATGGAAATGTACTGTCGAGAACTGACAGAGAGGTTTGAAGATGTTTGGATAGTATCTGGACCGTTGACCTTACCTCAGACTGGAAGTGATGGAAAGAAAACAGTTAGTTACCAGGTAGGGACATGTTTTAACATTCAGGCTTATGTTATTTGTATGAGATTATAATTTCATTCTGTATTTATCTTTTTATTTATTTATTAAACACCTGTTGGAATGATAGGCACAGGGGATATAATTAATGATGGATTAAAAAGTAGCCACTGACTCTAGGGAGCTCACAGTTTAGAAAGGGAGACAAACAAAAAAAGAAGGGAGACAGATGTGTTACCAATTAATCACTAATATTAAAGTCTGATGTGCTGCGCTAGAGATAAATACACCGATGGAGGGCTCTCACTGGAGCACTGACCAACTCTGTTGATGTGGTTTCGGAAGACTTAACAGAGGAAGTGATTTTTGAGCTAGATCTTGACAGATGAGTAAGAGTAAACAGTTGGTGAGTCACTGTGCTGTATACCTGAAATTAACGTAACACTATATGTTAACTATACTGGACTTAAAATTTTTAAAAATGGGAAAAAAGAGTGAACTGAGTCAGGAGGGGAGCATGGGAATTTAAAAAGCTGGAGCAGTGTCAGCAGAGGACATTTGTGATTGACGGCATAGTTCTGGAATACAGGTATCATTGATAAAGATTGGAGCTTAGATTGGGTACAAAAGAGTATGGGTGGTGCACAGGGATGAGGATTTCTACAACAATAGGACAGGGGCCAGATAGTAGAGGGCTTTGTACTCCACGAAGGCTTGGAATTTACTTTTTAGACAGTGAGAAGTCATAGATTTATTTTAAGCATGGGAGACGTGATTTGTTTGGGGTTTTATGAAGACTATTCTGACAGCACTCTGTAGAGAGGTGGGTGAGAAAGGGGGTTTGAAAGAGAAGTCAGAGATGAGGTGAATGGGACATTGCTTCCGTGGTCCATGTGAGAACAGACACAAGACCCAACTCAAGCAGCTGGAGTGAGGATGATAGAGGAATAGAGGAAAGTGTAATCATGAATTCACTTTTTGGCTGAGGAAAAAGGAAAATTTCAGGATCACATTTAGATGGCAGTGAGTGGAAAAGTGGGAGGACCAGCTTTTCTTTTAGATGCTTGAGTTTTTAAAAAAGGTGAGTGTGTTTTTCATGCAAGATATTTAAGAACTTTATAGACTGAAGGAAGGAGGTAAAACTAGAAGAGTATAATGAGTGGCATGAGGGCTTATGCATCTGGTGTTGATGTGGAAGACTGAGGATTGCGCCTGAAGGGTAGCTGAATTGATACAGTGATATTGTGAGATCTGTACAGGGTGGGGGACCAGGTGGAGTGCGGAAAGACGTGATGGAGTAAGTTCAGAGGAATTGAAGGACTTCCCTTCCCTGTAGGTCAGAGAACACCTGGAAGGAACACCTAGTTCAGCTCTAGGAATAAAGCAGATATTTAATAAATACTGGTTAGGTTATATGATTACTTAAGAGAGTCTGTGATATAATTAAATGACCCGAGAAACAGATTTAGGGGGAAAAAGAAACCTCACAAAACTGTAGGGTATGTTCTGTCCCTCTTCACTTATTTTTTATCAGCCTGTCTGGATCAGATGCACAGTGACGTGTCAGTAGCCAGGGTGTTCATACAGGCGCTCTCACCCTCAGAGTATTCCAGGAGTTCTTACGGGAGGCAAGAAGTGGCAAAGGAGTTAGTATTTTAAGCAGATTAATTTCTCTCCTCTGATCAGTTTGCAATTTAATTCTAGTATTTTTTTTGTCACATTAGAAAGAAAAAATGGCTTAAAGCTACTTATATTCTCTTATTTTTAAAATATTAATTATTATTTTTTTAAGATTTTATTTATTTTTTGACAGAGACACAGTGAGTGAGGGAACACAAGCAGGGGGCATGGGAGAGGGAGAACAGGCTTCCCGTGGAGCAGGGAGCCCGATGTGGGGTTCGATCCCAGGACCCTGGGATCATGACCTGAGCTGAAGGTCAAACGCCTAACAACTAAGCCACCCAGGCGCCCCTAAGTTTGACAGACAGAGATCACAAGTAGGCAGAGAGGCAGGCAGAGAGAGAGAGGAGGAAGCAGGCTCCCTGCTGAGCAGAGAGCCCGATGCGGGGCTCGATCCCAGGACACTGGGATCATGACCTGAGCCGAAGGCAGAGGTTTTAACCCACTGAGCCACCCAGGCGCCCCAGTATTAATTATTCTTGAGCTTTGTTAAATCCTTTTTACTTTTTCCACTAGAAAAGAGATTCTCATGACTTTTAAACCTTAAGTGATCAAGTTAGTTTTATGTGTGCTTTGTTTTCATAAAATTTGAAAGACTTACATACTAGCTTACTGTGTAGCGGACAGAAAATTTATCCAAAGTTTAAAAGGAAAGATTAACCAATAGATAAGAAAGAGCATTTCACTAACAGTTTTTTTTGGGTGGATATTTTTGTTAGATATGTGTTCGCTAAATGCTGTAGTGGAAAATATATTGCTTTTCTTAAATTGGATATAATTTTAAAAAACATAACTTACACAAAATATTATGTATCTGGCAGGTCTTTCTGCTAAATGGGCCTAGAAGCAGTGATATGCAGTTAGCAGTGAACATACCCTTGACACCAGATCTTATCTCTAAAATACCATCTCCTACTGGAAGATCTTGGCACATGGGGAAGTGGCTGATTCCAGGGCTGGTTCAGGGAAAGTACAGAATAGAGGGGATGTGTCAAAAAGACATAGACATCAGCTTGCAGGAGTTCCATCTTACCATGTCTGTGGCTATTTGATATCAAAATATAATGGGCTATAGACCTACTGAGTTGGATAAGAATCCTTACTTCTAACACATAAGTAAATACATGAATGTAGGGAAAAACTTCTGCTTACTATAGAATGTCACCTAACAAATTTATAAGAATCAAAGAGAAAAATCATTTTGTAGCCATCATGGTAATAAGTGATTCAGACAGGAATCATCAGTGGATGCTAAAACTAGTGAGTGAAAGTTTTGTGGGAAAGAGAATGTTTATATAGTTAAAAGAGTCTCTCACAAATTATTAATAACAAAGCAAGAAATGGTAACTGTACAGTGGAGAAACTTCCCCTTAATCAAGTGATCAAAGTTAATATTGTCAGTAACAGGATTACTGATAAGCTGTGCTTCCTGGTGTGATGCACTGAGAAGAATACAGGATCATTTCTGTGGTATTTTTGCCAAAAAGCATAGCAGTGAATCTCACCATGCGGAAATAGACAAACCCCACCGGGGGTCATTCTATGAAGCAGCTGCCTTGTACTCTTCAAACATGTTAGGGTCATAAAAGACAAAGGCTGAGAAATTATTCCAGATTAATATAGACTGAAGAGTCCTGAAAACAAGATCTGATCTCAGGTCAGATCTTAGGTCAGCATAGAAATCTTACTAAAAAGGACGTTATTGGGACAGTTGGCAACATTTGAGGTCTGTAGGTTAGATCATCATATGTTATCAATGTTAAATTTCCTGATTTTGATAATCATACTACAATTATATAAACAGATGTCTTTGCTCTTAGGAAATACGTCTTGAAGGATGTGTCTGTGACTTATTTTCATAGGGTTTAGGGAAGGAGTCCTGTTGGTACCCCTTGCACTCTTTTTCTGTACCTTCACTTAAAACTCTTATCACTTTGGGGTGCCTGGATGGCTCAGTTGGTTAAGCAACTGCCTTCGGCTCAGGTCATGATCCTGGAGCCCCAGGATTGAGCCTTGCATTGGGCTCCCTGCTCAGCAGGGAGTCTGCTTTTTCCTCTGATCTTCCCCAGTCCCTTGCTTGCTCTCTTTCATTCTCTCTCTCAAATAAAGAAATGAAATCGTAAAAAACAAAAAAGCAAAAAAACCCTCCATCACTTTACTTGCAAAAACAACGAACCAACAAACAAAAACACAAAGGATTTAGGGAAAAGAAAAATACAGAGGAAGAAAGAATAATTAAGGAAATTGGGCAAAATGTTAACAGTTGATGAATCTGTGAAGGGCACACAGGTGTTCTTTGTGCTCATCTTGTAAGCTCTCTATTTGAAATTAATTGAGAATGAAACTTACATAATGTACATATATTTTAATATATCTTTTCTATACCTGAATTCTTCATTACACTGGAATATATAAAAATAACCAATAAAAAGATTTACCTTGCTTCTCCTAAATAGCTTATCAGTGACTGCTATTCAAGGCTTAAAGAGATTCAAAAGAGACCTGTCAGCTTTCCTTACCTAAATTAGTGTCAGGGTGATAAAATGTGGGAGAGCAGTCAAGATCAGCTTCCTGAAGAGTAGACTCTGAATAATAGTCTTGTTTTCTGGTTTTTCTGTGAAAACCGTATTGGTCTTAGGTCTTTATTTTCAAGTTCTGGGTCTCTGAACCTGTAGTGTTAGTTTCCCATGTCTATAGTAATTTATAGGATGGGTGCATGCTTACTGGCCACTCTTGAATCCAGCAAATCTTCCAGTGCCTCTCATGTGGGAGGAGGAATGTATACAGAATTGTAGATGACATGCCTTAAACTACGCTCTTAATTACTTTCTCCCTTTCTTTCCTGGAATTCACATCCCAAGTCATCTCTCCTAATTTCTTTGAGTCAACAACTGTTATCAGATCTCTTTCTTAATAACTTTTACTCAGATTTTTCTGAAGCTCTGGACACTGCAGTATAGTAGAGGCCTCCAGTGAGTTTCTCTGCTTCCACTTCTGTTGGTGTCAGTCTGTCTGGAGTCCAGAAGTCATGACAGAGAAAGTGTATATTTTTGCTTTTCTCATCCTCAGAAGCATCAGAAATGAGTAATACCAAAAGAACAGAAAAGGAAACTTCATTTGTACTGAAATCAGGAAACGTCCATTGTCATATCAAGAATTTCAAATTTCAGTATCTGAAAGATACAGTGTATTTAGACTATAAATTATATAAGGTTATTTTTTTAAGAGTTTTATTTATTTATTAGAACAAGAATGAGCAGGGAGGGGGGCAGAGGGAGAGAGAAAGAGAAGCAGACTCCCTGCTGAGCAGGGATCCTGACAGGGGACTCGACCCTAGGACCTAG